ATGAGGATTTTTTTTTTTTTTTTTTTTTTTCCTTTTTGTCTTTTTTCGTGTCCGGCAACGGATCGCAACCCTCAGTGTCGCACCCGGACCGGGACCGGCAACGGGATCGCAAACCTCGGCGTCGCGCCCACACCTCGCTCAGCCAGTGAGCGGCCGGTCTGTATGTGGGATCTGAACCCTCGGCGGGAGTGCCACCGCGCTCCCAAGCGGCGCACTGTAGCACCGGGCCAGCCCTGTTGTTGCTTTTTAATAGTTGTAAATTGTTTGATTTGTGGGAGAGAGTGATGCTGGGGACCGTCTATTCCACCATCTTGACCAGAAGCCCAAAACTCGATTTTAAAAATCCAATTAAAAAATGGACAAAAGACTTGAACAGATATTTCACCAAAGAAGATATATGAATGGCAATAACCACATGAAGGGATGTTCAACATCATTAGCCATGAGATGAATGCAAATCCAGATCACAATGACATATCCCCACACACCTATTAGAATAGCTGAAATGAAAACAGTGACAACACTGAGTGCTGGTGAGGATCCGAGAAACTGGAGCTCTCACACACTGCTGGTGGGCATGCAAAATGGCTCAGCCTCTCTGCAAAACTGTTTGGCAGTTTCTTATAAGACTAAACACACACTTATCATCCGACCCAGAAGCCATATTTCTGAGCATAAAATCTGGGAAACGTGAAAACTTATGACCATGCAAAAACCTATACATGAATATTCACAGCAGCTTTATTTATAGCCCCGATCTGGAAACTACCCAAATGTCCTTCAAGGCATGAATGCTTAAACAAACTGTGGTACATCTATACCATGGGATATTATGCAGCAAAAAAAGAAAAATATCTATTGATACATACAACAACCTGGGTGGATCTCCAGGCATTATGCTGAGTAGGGAAAAAAGCCGAACTCAAAAAATTATTTACTGTATGATTTCATTTATATAGTATTCTTGAAATGACAAAATTATAGGGAAGGAGAACAAATTAGATTATGGCCAGGGGTTAGGGATGGTTGAGGAGGTGCACTAGGGACATCGTTGAGCTGATGGAACAGTTCCAGATCTTGATTGCACTGGTGGTTATGCAAACCTACACAAATGATCAAATAGCATATATCTATGCACACATATTGTACCCACGTCAGCCCCTCGATGTGATACTGTACTACAGCTATGTAAGACGTAACCCTTGGGGAAACTGGGTGAAGCATAGATCTTTGCAACTTCCTATGAATCTGTAATTATTTCAAAGTAAACTTTTTAAGAATCATGTTGCATAAGGAAAGTTTTGTGCCCTAAAATCTTACAGCTCACTTACGAAAGAAACTTAATAGAGGTTTTCCCAAATTTGACAATAATTCCAAAGACTTACATGACATTACCAATAAACAGTGAAGCTGAATCTCTTCTAAAACACAATAGCAAATTTTGACCACCTATGCTAGAAAAAAGACTGATTTATATTTCTATTCTCTCTATAGAGAATATTACAAAATTATTATATAAAGAGGGTGTTTTAGTCCGTTTAGTGTTGCTATAACAGAATTACCTGAGACTGGGTAATTTATAAAGGAAAGAGGTTTATTTGGCTTACAATTCTAGGACAGCTGCATCTGGCATGGGCCTCAGGCTGCTTCTACTTATGGCAGAAAGTGGCAGGCAGCCGGTGGGTACGAACAGATCACATGGCGAGAGGAAGCAAGAGAGGAAGCAAGAGAAGGTGCCAGGGTCTTTTTAAGCAACGAGCTCTCACAGGAACTAACAGAGCGAGAACTCACTCATTAATCCCCCCTCCCCCAGGCAGAACATTAATCCATTCATGAGGGATCGACCCCCATGACTCAATCAGTTTCCAACACTGCCACATTGGAGATCAAATTTCCACATGAGTTTTGGAGGGGACAACACATACAAACTCCATCAGAGGGGATCAAAAAGTAGGCATATTAAAAAAGCAAAAAAAAGTATTATAGAGAAGTGTCCAGCAGCTAATTAATAAAATTTCACATGATATTTTGGAGCTTTGTCATATTTATATTTATTATAAGCTTTTGAAACTTTTTTTGGTATCAGTTTTATATTGAGTAAGTTTTTAAATTAAACTTATTCATTTATTCTTAAGTGACAGAATAATTGTACATATTTATGGGGGACAGTGTGATGTATCAATACATGTATACAACTTTGAATTATACTATAGTATATTTCTCATTTTATTCAGAAAAATTCACTTTTATGTACATTCACTTTTATATATATTCAGAAAATACATTGGTTCCTCAGCAACTGAGGGGGATTGATTCCAGCACCTCCCATGGATACCAAAATCTGCAGATGCTCAAGTCTCTGATATAAAATGGTGTAGTATTTGCATATAACCTACACTCACCCTCCTGTATTCTTTAAATAATCTCTAGATTACTTGTAATACCTAATACAATGTAAATACTATGTAGACTGGATAAAAACATGGACTTCAGAGTTGCACAAAAACCTTGACCTGCCATCAAATAACTATGAGACCAAAGGCAAGCTACTTAACCTCTTTAAGTCTTGGTTTCCTCACCTATAGAATACTTATAACACCAGGACAATGATATACATACATATATATATATACACACACACACACACACACACACACACACACACACACACACACACACATATATAAATGTATAATCGGATTGTTGTGAAAATATTAACACAACAAGGGATCAGAACATGACTCTGAGAACAGATGCTGTTGGCTGCCTGCTCAACAGCCCTTCCATGCCTCTCCTTCCCACCAGCTCCCAGCCTAGAGCAGGCATCCTTGCCTTGACCTACACAGCTTATATGTCTCACAGAAAGCTGCCCAGACTCTCAGCTCTGGGTAGGACTATTTTTTTGTTGTTTTTTGGCAGCTGGCCAGTACAGGGATCCGAACCCTTGACCTTGGTGTGGGTAGGACCGTTTTAATGGCCCACTTTTTGAAAAGGGTTATGAGGAGTGCAAAATGTCACAAGCCAACTCTCTACTCTCAGTGGAAAATTATTTGGTCCTGTCAATGTTGAGGGGGAGGGGGGATGGAAGAAAAGACATAAAATAGCACGAAAAGCAAACATGACTTAATCAGGCTCTTGGCATCCAGGGTACCCAATGGGTGACCTCACAAATAGGAAGTAATCTCAGAGGTCACCAAATGCAAAGATTGTCAACTGTGTGCAGGGTAAACTTCTTTCTTGCCCTCATTCTGCTATGCAGAACAAATATGGTACCATCTTATGTCTCAAGTTTAAAGCTAAGACACTGTAAATTTCCTTCTTTAAGTTTATATTCCCAAGGATGGACTATTTCCCTTAATTCAACCCTTGAGATTCATGCCAGGAAGGTGAAATTCTTACCATCCAAAATTTTATGACATAAAAATAGCCTTTAACACGGCAACCCTTCTCACAGACAGTACAGTATAGTGGTTGAGTGAGGATGCTGTGGCCTCACATCCTAGCTCATACACTTAAAGCTCTGTGATCTTGGGCAAGTTCTGTGTCAAGTCTCTGTGCCTCAGTTTCCCCAGTTCTAAAGTGGAGATAATAATATTATCTCCTTTATAGTGTTACAAGATTTATCTTAATATATGCATGGCATCTCAAACAAGGCCTGCAACATAAGTGTTAGTTATTATTATGACTGTCAACAATAAGCCCCAGTGACTTCTGCAGACCCACCTGGATCTCGGACTGAGACATGCTAGCTCAGACATGGTGCAGCTGGCAGCAGTCAAGCCCGGGAATCCCCGCCTACCATCAGTATGGAAGCCCCAGATGGAGACTGTTCTCTCAAATTCTAGTTTTCTCCCCAGCCTCAAGGATGACTGGGAGATCCTTGTTCGTTTCCTCTCCCCTAAGCTATGTACACTCTGCAGCTGTCACACATTCTACATTCTAGAGAAGGGAATACAAACTAAAAGCCAGCAGAGAAAGAAAAAGCACTGCCACCATGTGGCTTTTCAGAGAATTATTCTTCCCACCTTTGCACTACCCAAGGGTCTTCTTGTTCCTGACCATGGTCACCCTCTGCAGACCTGAGACTGCGGCAGGTGGCCAGAGCCCCTCCAGTGAAGCAGAGCACAACACTTAGAGCCAAAGGGCCCTTGATGTAATCTGGTGATATGCCTTCATGTGACAATGAGGAAAACTGAGGCACAAAGACATAAGGGGCTTGTCTTAAACCACAGCCAGAGTTGGGCTGTGGGTCTTGTGAACCTGCTCCAGAGTCCTCTTTACCATAGGGTGCTGGAGCTCACAACCACAGTTTGGAATTCAAATGATCTTAAAAAAATCAAATTCAGGTCAGTGCCCCTCTGTCCTGATAAAGCTGCAAAACCACAGGCAGGTGACATCCATGAGGCTGCAACAGATGAGGGTTACACTGGAAATGTCATCTCTTTTGTGCACTAAGAAAGCAGAGACACAGCACACTGTTTCATGCTACAACAAAACTCTAATTGCTTCTTTTTATTTCTCACTGATGAGCTTATTCTTCAGGCCCTAGGTTTCACTTCAAAGGAATGGGAAATATTGGACATTGCCAGGGACTATAGGTCTATTCTCTCTTCCACAGCTTTAAGACTTCTTGAGTTCTTGCCCTAAAGTCACCCTGTAGCAAGATCCAGCCATTTCTAATTCCTTGTGTGTTTATACTAACAAAAATTTTAATGACAACATCCTTTTTTCTCCTGGAAAATCCAATACTCCAAACTTTTATTTATTGGGGTTTTTTTCTTAATTTTTAATAATTTCCTCCCAAAACAAAACAAAACTTTCCATGAACTAAGCTGTAGCACACCCTGCATGGGCATATTGAACATTCTCAAAAACAGCGACAACTGACATATTTAGGCACAAAACTGGCCTTGGTTCCAAACCAACCTTATATTAAGCCATGACAACATGGGTGTTGTGCCTCCGCCAATGATCCAGACAGTGAAGAAGACGATGAGGAGGGTGGTCGTGAACATCATCTGGCGAGCATAGGATGCCGTGTCGCGGATGGCCAATGCAAATGCCATTGCCCCCCTGAGGCCTGCAGGGACCAAAGAGGACAATGTCCTGGTTAGAAAGATAAATGACAATGTCACCTCAAAATCCACTGCTGCCACTTGGGGCTAATAAACACTATCCATTCATTCTTCAGAAGCCAAGTTGTTTTATTTTACTCAGAAAGAAAAAACTTAAAGGTGCATGTTTTTCTCCTATTTGAAGCTGTCTTGCCAAATTCCCAAATACAATGGGTAAAACACTGCACTACGTTGTACAGCACATTTTAGAATAATAACTCTTGCTGCTTAAATGATTCTCCTAATAACATGAAGTAAAAAGAAACATAAATAAGAAATAATAATATGAGCTCTCTAAATCTGTGATCCAAACACTACCAAAGCACTACCCAGTCAATATAAATTTTAAAAACAGGCTAAATATGAGTATGTGAAATGTATATTTGTGGAAAACAATTCAGCATTTCCGTAGCAAAGGGGGAAGCCAAGCAGAGAAGTGAAAATACAACCTGATCTACCTCTGGGGTTAGCAATTCGTTCTGTAAAGGGCCAGATATTAAATATTTTAGGCTTTGTGGGTCAAGACGCAAAAGTCAAGTCTATTATGTGGGTACTTACATGAAAGAGAGAAAACAAATTTCCACAATCTCTTATTGATAAAAATCAAGAACATAATAATAATAACTGAGTACACCTTGTTGTAATACGGTCAACTAATGAAAAGAATGGAATTCTTTTGGCGCAAGAGGTATTTTGCTTAATTGGGTTTCCAAGTAAGTGTCGCCTATCATCAGACAGGATTGCAAATACTCATCTGTAAAAGGCATTCTTAGCTCACAGGGTGTATAAAAACAGGCAGCAGCCAGATTTGGCCCAGGGGCTGCCCTGATCTACATTAATGGGCTTTATGATTAACATCAACATTTTAATGTTTTAAAATTTACCTTTCTGAGCTATTCTGTCCCTTCCCCGTACCACGCCCATAATTTGTTTTATAGTAAAGACTGATTCCAGTCTTCAGAACACATTTAGCATAAATTCTTATTCACCATGGGCAAGGATGTGTGTGTATCATAGGAGAGAGTGAAAAGTTAGACCTACTATATGTGTTTGTACATTTTCCCACCTTTCCCAATAATTTCACAATTATAAATATAATCTTAGAGCTTCACTACTACTCACTAAAGAGTGACTCAATAAAAGTTATATTTAAAAAAACAGCAAAATTAATGTTTTCTATTAATCTGTCCTAGTGAAAAATTTATACACATCTAGATCACCCAAGAGCCAGCTACATCATTGGTCAATATTTAAGCCTCTAAAGGGGTATTATCTCAAAGAAGAAAATATATTTTTCTTTATTTTATTAGGTGAACATGGTAAGGAACAGGAAAGTGAAACCTCAGGTATTCCATAGACTTTAAGAATGAGTTCCTTTCTATAGCCAGACTTCTCCCAGCATAAAATAATTTTTATTGGAGATGTCTTTAAACAGTACAGAGGATCTCAGCCTTTCAGTACAGATGACAATTAACAAATTTGAAGTTCACCTAGATGACAGATGACAGAGTTATGTCCAATTCATCTTTCTCTTGGCCATCGGCATTCTCCTAATATGTAAGTAAGAACTTGTCACTGCCCTCCTGGTCAAGCTCTAAATGCTTCCCCACTGCTCTGGAGGAAAGTCCAAGCTCTTCAGTACGGCACTGGAGCTTCTCTGTGGTTTCCACTCTACAGCAGTGCTTCTCAAAATGTGGTCCTCAAACCACCAGCAGCAGCAGCTGAGAAACTGTTAGAAATGCAAATTCTTGGGACCCATCCCATGCCTCCAGAAGCAGACACTCTGGTAGTAGGGCCCAGCAATCTGCGCTTTAACAAGCCCAAGAGGTGATCCTGATGCAACCTGAAGACTGAAAATCACTAGACACAATTTCCTTCCTAACCTCACCCTCTGCTACACTTCCCCCCACACAGGACAGAGGTAACTTCAGGAGTCACAGTGGCCTTTTGCACCCAACATTTCCTCCCTCTGTTCTGCAAAGATGCTCTAACTTGGGGCTTGTTTATGTAAAGGCTGATGCTTAGCACCCTCGCTGTAGCATCTACTCATGGCAACTGTGCTCTCCTTTCTTTACCTGCAAATCTTTCTTTATCATCCTTTGTCTCCTCAGTGGCTTCTCCAGATGTCTCAGTTTTACAGTGAAAATTGGGGGTTGAGGGGGTTGGGGACGGGGCATGCAGGAGACAGTGTAAATCAAACAGGACTAGCACAGCTGTTAAATTCCAGCTTTAGGTTCCTCCTGCTTATGTAAGCGTATTTTATTTCTTTGGCTCCACAGAAGTTACAGTTAGGAGGGACCTCGACTAATTCATTCAATTTCATATTTTACAAGAGAGGATACTGCAGCTGGGAGCTGTTGAGTGATTTGGCCTGTGCTCCTTTTCATCCAGAGCTCTTTTCCTTCTAATTTTAGGTCTGAAGCCCTTCTGGAAGCTTAAGGGTTATAAATATTTACTAGAAAACAATCAAGAATTTAAATACTTATATATCTCCAGGTCCCTTTGGTGGTAGACATGAAATAGAGATGCAAATATTTTAGGGGAGAATGTTCACATTTGGTAGTATGGTTTGCAAAATCAATACTAACTTAGTTGAACATGTACATCTGTCTACTCAGCACTGCAGGGGATACAAAAGAACCAGAAACTTGAATGCCTGTCTTTTTATGAACCTTCTTGATTATATTTTAATCATAGTATCATGGCCTGCTGAACAAAACTCATTTGCTTTACACTTATACTTTTTTACCTGAAAACATCATCATGTGTTGAAAATTCCAGCCAATCTTATGCCTCCTGCCCAAGTTGAGGAAGAAGGAGAGTGGGTAGATATGCGCAGCTCTGCCCAGGAAGATGGCAACCTGACCACCAGGTGGAGGTTAAGGACCCAACAGGTTTCCAGAATAGCATTTCCACCCCACCACTGCTTGAGCAGAGAATTTTAGGAATTCCGTGACATCTGATTATGATCCAGAGAGCTGCAAAAAAAAAGCCAGGCTATCTAGTTTCCCTCTAAACAAGTCTCTCAGCGACAGAATGGGAGTCATTTAGCCAACCCTCCCTACCTCCTGGTTCATAATGTCTAGTAAACACACTTTTGTAACTTCTTGATTTAATTCAACTGGTATTGGCCAATTTCCCAATATATCAAAAAATGAGTTCAGAAATAAGCTAAGAGAAGCAAACAGTGTGTTGAGCTCTACTGGAAGGAAAATCACAAGATGAAAAAATTACTAACTGTGGAGTCAAACTCTAAAGAGAAAGTTTGCTGGGTAAGCGCTTGCAAGCTTCATTTGCAAGTAAACATCAGGTACTCTAACCTAACGATCACAAAGAGCCTGCAACGAAATAGGACTGGGCACAGACTTCATGAATATGACCCCAAAAGCACAGGCAACCAAAGAAAAAATAAATAAATGGAATTATATCAAACTAAAAAGCTTCTGCACAGCAAAAGAAACAATTAACAGAGTTAAAAGACAACCAACAGAGTGGGAGAAAATATTTGCAAAATATACATCTGACAAAGGATTAATATCCAGAATATACAAGGAACTCAAACAACTTTACAAGAAAAAAACAAGCAACCC